GGGGAAGGGGCGGGGCTACGGGATGAGGGCGGGGCCGGGCGGGGGGCGCGGGGGATCGCCGTGGGGCGGACGCGGGTGTCCCCGTCTCCCCCGATGTCGCCGTGGGGCGGACGCGGGTGTCCCCAGCCACCCCGGATGTCACCGTGGGGACGGCACGGGTGTCCCCGTCTCCCCCGATGGCGCCACCCGACGGGTGTCCCCAGCCACCCCGGGTGTCACCGTGGGGAGGACACTGATGTCCCCAACCCATCCCAGGTGTCACCATGGGCAGCTCACGGGTGTCCCCAGGTACCCCAGGTGTCACCGTGGGGACCCAGACACCCCGGGTGTTACTGTGGGCAGCTCACGGGTGTCCCCAGGTACCCCAGGTGTCACCGTGGGGAGGACACTGGTGTCCCCAGCCACCCCGGGTGTTACTGTGGGCAGGACACACGTGTCCCCATCTACCACGGGTGTCACTGTGGGCAGGGAACAGGTGTCCCCATCTCCCCATGGCTATCGCTGTGGAGAGGATGTGGGTGTCCCTATCTACCCCGATGTCACCGTGGGGAGGACACTGGTGTCCCCAGCTACCCCAGGCTGTCACCCTGGGCAGGACACGAATGTCTCCATCTACCCCGGGCATCGTTGTGGGGATGGCACGGGTGTCCCCAGCTACCCTGGGTGTCACTGTGGGCAGGGCACAGGTGTCCCCATCACCCCATGGCTATCACCATGGAGAGGACATGGGTGCTCCCATCTACCTCAGGTGTCCCCATCTACTCCAGGCCATCACTTGTGGGCAAGGGGCAGATGTCCCCAACCACCCTTCCTGTCACCAAGGGCAGGACACAGGTGTTCCCAACCACCCCGAGTGTTGCCATGGGGATGGCATAGGTGTCATGTCCCCTGGTGTCACTGTGGGCAGGACACATGTGTCCCCAGTCACTGGGGCTGCCACTGTGGACAGGGCGCAGACGTCCCCATCTCCCCATGGCTATTGCCATGGGCAGGATGTGGGTGTCTCCATCTACTCTGGGTGTCACCATGGGGAGGACATGGGTGTCTCCATCTACTCTGGATGTCACCATGGGGAGGACATGGGTGTCTTCATCCACCCCGTGTCTCGCCATGGGGATGGCATGGGTGTCCCCATCTACCCTTGGTGTCACTGTGGGGAGGATGGCACGGGTCTCCCCAACCACCCCAGGTGTCACCATGGCCAGGGCATAGATGTCCCCAGCCACCCCAGGTGTTGCCGTGGGCAGGACACGGGTGTCCCCAGCTACCCCACTGTTGCTGTGGGCAAAGTGCAGGTGTCCCCAGGCACCTCGGGTGTTGCTGTGAGCAGGACACAGGTGTCTCCATCTACCCTGGGTGACACTATGGACAGAAAATGGGTGTCCCTAAGCACCCCAGGAGTCATCATGGGCAGTACATGGGTGTCCCCTTCCACCCCAGGCTGTCACCACGGGGCACAACATGGGTATCCCTCTCATCACCATCAGTCAGGGCACGGCTGTCCCGCTGGGTTCCTGGGCTGTCAGAATGGGGCAGGGCACGCGCATCCCCCCGGGTCCCCAGGCTGTCCCCTCGCCCACCCCTGTGTCCCAGTGGGGCAGATGGCATCCCCGGACTAAGGACACAGCTCATCCCCAGGCTTGGGCAGAGCCAGGGGCACAAGACAATGGGGCAGAGCCACCCGTCACCACTGCGGGGACGGGGACGGGGACAGGGACAGGGACACGGGATGGAGCCAAAGTCCTTTAAAAACTTGTCCTTTATTAGTCTGTCGGAAGCGAGTCCCTCTGTATAGGGCGTCCCACCCCGTTATAGCAAAGTGAGTAACATGAAGGGACCGAGCCCCTCCCGCCCATGGCCCCCTCCGGGCCGGGGGGAGCGCGGGGACTGGATGGGGGCCCCAAGGCGACGGGGACATCCCCCCCCACGCAGCCCCCCAGCCACCGGGACCCTCTTCCCTCCCTCCCTCCAATGTGAGGTGCCCCTCATCCCTCCCTCCCCGCCTCCGTGGAGTCAGCTCTGGGGCTGGGGCGGGGGGGTGACACCCCAAGACCCCCCCCACCCCCTCCCAGGTCCCGCAGGGAGCGATAGCACCAAGGGGGATGGCTGCTCCCCGCAGTTTATTCCGCGCTCCCTGCCGGGACGGGGGGCTTGGCCGGGGACAGGCGCTGCCGGAGGCGTTGGGGTCCCTCCTGGGAACGTGGGGCCGGGGGACGGCCCCGGCACGAAGAAGAAGAAGAAGTAGAAGAAGGGGGGAGGAAGGAGAGGGGGTCCGGAGTTTTTGGGGAGAGGGGGAGGGCTTGTCTCAGCTTTGCTCGGGTTTTACATTCTGGACCATGCAGTAGCACCAAAGTTCATGAGGTCATCAGTGACGGCGGGCGGTTACTTCCGCTTCCTCCCGCAGTACTTCCCTTGTGCGCAGCCCACGCCGCCTGGGGGGGGGGGGGGGCAGAGGATGACCCCCCCCCTGCACCCCCAAACCCCCAGGGGGGGAAAGGGCAGGGGGGGGGCAGGAGCCG